AGACCTAATCTATGTTTGATAAGTGTACCAGAATATGGCGGGGAGAAAGAATCCAAGCTGGAAAACACTCTGCAGGATATTATCCAGGAGAACTTCCCCAGCCTAGGAAGGCAGGCCACCATTCAAGTCCAGAAAATACAGAGAACACCACAAATATATTTCTCAAGAAGAGCAGCCGCAAGGCATATAATCATCAGATTCACCAGGCTTGAAATGAAGGAAAAATTGCTAAGGGCAGCAGGAGAGAAAGGTCAGGTAACCCATAAAGGGGAGCCCATCAGACTTCTGTCTCTGGGCAGAAACCCTACAAGCTAGAAGACAGTGGGGGCCAATATTCAACATCCTTAAAGAAAAGAACTTTCAAGCTAGAATTTCATATCCACCCAAACTAAGCTTCATAAGCGAAGGAGAAATAAAATCCTTTATGGACAAGCTAATGCTGAGAGATTTCATCAGCACCAACCCTGCCTTACAAGAGCACTTGAAAGAAAAACTCAACATAAAAAGGAACAACCAGTACCAGCCACTCCAAAAACATACCAAGTGGTAAAGACCATCAATACAATGAAGAAACTGCATTAACTAATGGGCAAAACAACCAGCTAGCACCAAAATAGCAAATTCACACACAAAAATATTAACCTAAAATGTAAATGGGCTAAATGCCCCAATCAAAAGACACAGACTGGCAAGGTGGATAAAAAGTCAAGACTCATCAGTGTACTGTATTCAGGAAACCCATCTCTTATGCAAGGACACATATAGGCTCAAAATAAAGGGATGGAGGAAGATTTACCATGCAAATAGAGAGCAAAAAACAAAAAAGCAGGGGTTGCAACCCTAGTCTCTGATAAAGTGGACTTTAAACCAACAAAGACCAAAAGGGGCAAAGAAGGGCATTACATAATGGTAAAAGGATCAATGCAACAAGAAGAGCTAACAATCTTAAATATAAACACAACTAATACAGGAGCACACAGATACATAAAGCAAGTTCTTAACAACCTACAAACAGACTTAGACTTGCACACAATAATAGTGGAAGACTTTAACACTCCAGGGTCAATATTAGATCAACAAGACAGAAAATTAACAAGGATATCCAGGACTTGAAATCGGATCTGGAACAAGCAGACCTAATAGACATCTACAGAACTCTACACCCCAAATCCAGAGAATATACATTGTTTTCAGCACCACATCATGCCTAATCTAAAATTGACCACACAGTGGAAGTAAATCACTCCTCGACAAACGCAAAAGAATGGAAATAGTAACAAACAGTCTCTCAGACCACAGTGCAATCAAATTAGAACTCAGGGTTAAGAAACTAGCTAAAAACCACACAACTACATGGAAACTGACAAACTGGCTCCTGAATGTTGACTGGATAAACAATGAAATGAAGGCAGAAATAAAGATGTGCTTTGAAACCAACAAGAATGAAGACACAATATACCAGAATCTCTGGGACACATTTAAAGCATGTCTAGATGAAAATGTATAGCAGTATATGCCCACATGAGAAGGAAAGATCTAAAATCGACACCCTATCATCAAAATTGAAAGAGCTACAGGAGGAAGATCAAAAAACTCGAAAGCTAGCAGAAGACAGGAAATAACTAAGATCAGAGCAGAGCTAAAGGAGACAGAGACACACACACATACACACACACAAAAAAAAAACCCTTCAAAAAAATCAATAAATCCAGGAGCTGGTTGTTTGAAAAGATCAACAAAATAGACCACTAGCCAGATTAGTAAAAAAGAAAAGAGAGAAGAATCAAATAGATGCAATAAAAAATGATAAAGGGGATATCAACACCAATTCCACAGAAATACAAACTACCATCAGAGAGTACTACAAACAACTCTATGAACATAAACCAGTAAACCAGGAAGAAATGGATAAATTCCTGGACACTTGCACCTTCCCAAGCCTAAACCAGGAAGGAATTGGAACCCCAAATAGACCAAAAACAAGGGCTGGAGTTGAGGCAGCAATTAATAGCTTACCAACCAAAAAAAAAGTCCAGGGCCAGACGGGTTCACAGCCGAATTCTACCAGACATAAAAAGAGTAGCTGGTACCATTACTTCTGAAACTATTCCAAACAAAACAAAAGGAGGGAATCCTTCCCAAATCATTTTATAAGACCAACATCATCCTGATACGAAAACCCAACAGACACTCAACAAAAACAGTAAACTTCAGGCCAATATCTATGATGAACATAGATGCAAAAATCTTCAATAAAATACTGGCAAACCAACTGCAACAGCATATCAAAAATCTTATCCATCATGATCAAGTAGGCTTCATCCCGGGATGCAAGGCTATTTCAACATATGCAAGTCTATAAATGTAATTCACCACATAAACAGAACCAAAGACAAAGACCACATGATTATCCCACTAGATGCAGAGAAGGCCTTCGACAAAATTCAACAGCCCTTTATGCTAAAAACTCTCAATAAACTAGGTATTGATGGAACATATCTCAAAATATAAAAGCTATTTACAACAAACCCACAGCCAATATCATACTGAATGGGCAAAAACTGGAGGCATTACCTTTGAAATCTGGCATGAGGCAAGGATGCCCTCTCTCACCACTCCTGTCAATACAGTATTGGAAGTTCTAGCCAGAACAATCAGGCAAAAGAAAGAAATAGAGTGTATTCAATTAGGAGGGGGGGAAGTCAAATTGTCTCTATTTGCAGATGACATGATTGTATATTTAGAAGATCCCATTATCTCAGCCCAAAATTTCCTTAAACTGCTTTAGCAAAGACTCAGGATACAAAATCAATGTGCAGAAATCATAAGCATCCTATACACCAAGAACAGACTAACAGCCAAATCAAGAGCGAACTCCAATTCACAATTGCTACAAAGATAATAAAATACCTAGGAATACAACTAAAAAAGCATATAAAGGACCTCTTCAAGGAGTACTACAAACCACTGCTCAATGAAATAAGAGAGGATAGAGACAGATGGGAAAACATTCCATGCTCATAGTTAGGAAGAATCAATATCGTGAAAATGGCCATACTGCCCAAAGTAATTTATGGATTCAACACTATCCCCATCAAGCTACCAATGACCTTCTTCACAGAACTGAAACAAAACCATCTTAAACTTCATATGGAACCAAAAGAGAGCCCACATAGCCAAGGCAATCCTAAGCAAAAAGAACAAAGCTGGAGGCATCACACTGCTGGACTTCAAACTATACTACAAGGCTACAGTAATCAAAACAGCATGGTTCTGGTACCAAATCAGAGATATAGACCAATGGAACAGAACAGAGGCCTCAGAGGCAATGCCACACATCTGCAACCATCTGATCTTTGACAAACCTGACAAAAGCACTGGGGAAAGGATTCCCTGTTCAATACATGGTGTTGGGAAAACTGGCTAGCCATGTGCAGAATGCAGAAACTGGACCCCTTCCTGACACCTTACACTAAAATTAACTCCAGATGGATTAAAGGTTTAAATGTAAGACCTAACACCATAAAAAACCCTAGAAGAAAGCCTAGGCAAAACCATTATTCAGGACATAGGCATAGGCAAGGACTTCATGACTAAAACACCAAAAGCATTGGCAACAAAAGCCAAAACAGACAAATGGGATCTAATTAAACTCCAGAGCATCTGTATAGCAAAAGAAACAATCATTAGGGTTATCTGGCAACCAACAGAATGGGAAAAAATTTTTTTGAATCTACCCATCTGACAAAGGGCTAATATCCAGAATATACAGAGAACTACAACAGATTTGCAAAAAATAAAAAAATAAAAAAAAACCATTCAAAAGTGGGTAAAGGATATGAACAGACACTTTTCAAAAGAAGACATATATGAGGACATCAAACATGTGAAAAAATGCTCATCATCACTGGTCATTAGACAAATGCAAATCAAAACCACATTGAGATACCATCTCATGCCAGTTAGAATGGTAATCATGAAAACTGGAGACAACAGATGCCGGAAAGGATGTGGTGAAATAAGAACACTTACACTGTTGGTGGGAGTGTAAATTAGTTCAACAATTGTGGAAGACAGTGTGGTGATTCTTCAAGGATCTAGAAATAGAAATTCCATTTGACCCAGCAATCCCATTACTGGGTATATACCCAAAGGATTATAAATCCTTCTATTATAAAGACATGTATGTTCATTGTGGCACTGTTTACAATAGCAAAGACCTGGAACCAACAATGATAGACTGGACAAGGAAAATGTGGCACATATACAGCATGGAATATTATGCAGCCACAAAAAATGATGAGTTCATATTCTTTTAGGGACATGGATGAATCTGGAAACCATCATTCTCAGCAAACTGACACAAGAACAAAAAATAAAACACTGCATGTTCTTGCTCATAGATGGGTGTTGAACAATGAGGACACATGGACACAGGAAGGGGATCATCACACACTGGGGTCTGTTGGGGCAGGTTAGGGGAGGGATAGCAGGGGGTGGGGAGGTTGGGGAGGGATAACATGGGGAGAAATGCCAGATATAGGTGACCGGGAATGGAGGCAGCAAACCACCTTGTCATGTAAGTACCTATGCAACAAGCCTGCATGATCTACACACGTACCCCAGAATCTAAAGTACAATAAAAAAAAAAAAAAGAAAAAAAAAGAAACACATCAAGAAAAGCTTTGAACAACAGCTTTAAATCTGTGTGTTGTGTCATAGCACTGTAACCAGAGTTTGATGTAAAATTATTGCCTCTCTTAAGGTTTATAGTAGACATAGAGAAACTGTAACTACATTATACATTTAGCTTTGAAGAAAGAGTCCAAAAATGTCTTTAAAATATAAAGAAATGAGGAAATAATATCTGTTCCTCTTTTCTTTTTCAAAGGAACTTTGAACAATTTTGCTGTACTTGAGAGCCAAGAAAAATACTTGAATAAAGAAAAGTCTCTGGAAGAAAAACAAAAAACTATGCATATAACCAAATACCTACATACCTGGTCTGGTGTTGTATTTGATCCATTGGATAAGTTCTTCCTGAGGCAAATTATTAAATTCTCCTATTATGCTCCATTGATTATGGAGGTTTGCACAACCTTGAATCGACATCACTGTTAGAATGCCAAAGATAACATTCTCAAAACGAACTCTGCAAAAAATCCAGCCAAAGAGCTGAAATGAAAGAAACCATTTATTTATAGTTCTCATATGAAGAGTACTCTAGGGTCCACAATAAATTCTCACCTTGTTACTTAAACCAATATGAATTACTCTTTGATATCAGCACACATGTATACAGAATTATCATCCCCGATTGTTTCTAAAGCAATGAATATGTTGGCATTACAGGGCCCAGGTGAAAATGGAACTTTCTCTCCCCTGGAAAGAATTAAGGAAGAAATACCTGATCCTTCTAGTACTAATTTACTATCAAGGATTAAAATAAATAAATCGCAATTGTTAAGTATCTTAGAACTAAATCGTTTCATACTTGGCTGACATCTTTAGTCGACAGGGAAGCCCTATTAGCATGATATATACAGATTCTTCTCTGGAAAACAGGCATTATGATAATTTAAGACTATATACTCATAATCAAAACTAAATAAGATATCTAGAAGTACCTTAGACCCAATATTTTAGCTAATTTATCTAGCCCTTTGGTATGTTCGATACAGTGATAGAACCCCAGAATTTCTTATAGATTCTTTGAGCCAAACAGGACCATACTAGAGCAATTACTTTGCATCTAGTCTAGTATTGTATGAGTACTTCAAATGCACCAGGAAACTTTTTTGGGGGCAGGTGGAGGGGACGGAGTCTCACTGTGTTGTCCAGGCTGGAATGCAGTGATGCGACCTCAGCTCACTTCAACCTCTGTCTCCTGGGTTCAAGCAATTCTCCTGCCTCAGTCTCCTGAGTAGCTGAGATTACACCACCATGCCCGGCTAATTTTTGTATTTTACTAGAGACAGGGTTTCATCATGTTGGTCAGGCTGGTTTCATCATGGTGGTCAGGCTGTTCTCAAACTCCTGACCTCACCCACCTCAGCCTCCCAAAGTGTTGGGATTACAGGTGTGAGCCACTGTGCCCAGCCCCCACCAGGAAACTCTTTTTCTTTTTTTTTTCTTTTTTTTTTTTTGACACAGAGTCTCACTCTTTCACCCAATTAAGAGTGCTGTGGTGCCATCCTGGTTGACTGCAACTTCCGCCTGCCAGGTTCAAGTGATTCTCCTGCCTCCACCTCATGAGTAGCTGGAATTACAGATGCTCATAACCACGCCTGGCTAATTTTTGTATTTTTAGTAGAGATGCAGTTTCACCATGTTGGCCAGGCTGGTTTCGAACTCCTGGCCTCAAGTGATCTGTCCACCTTGGTTTCCCAAAGTGCTGGGATTACAGCTGTGAACCACTGTGCCTGGCCACGAGAAAACTCTTTTCTCTCTCTCTCTTTTCTTTCTCTCTCTCCCTCCATCTCTCTCTCTCTCTTTTGTCCCTCTCTGTCTTTTCTTTCCTTTTCTCTTTCATTCATTTGTCGTTCCTTTCTTTTCTTGAGACAGAGTCTCACTCTGTCACCGAGGTTAGAATGCTGTGGTATGATCTTGGCTGACTATAGCCTCCATCTTCCAGGTTCAAGTGATTCTCCTGCCTCAGCCACCCGAGTAGCTTAAATTACAGGTGCTCACCACCACACCTGGCAAATTTTTCTATTTTCAGTAGAGATGGGGTTCCACTATGTTGGCAAGGCTGGTCTGCAACTCCTGGCCTCAAGTGATCTGCCCACCTTGGCCTCCCAAAGTGCTGGGATTACAGGCTTGAGCTACTGTGCCCAGCAGGAAATTCTTACACAAACCAGAACTACAAAAGGTTATGTTCATGGACAGGATATTAACAGAGGGGAAAAGTTTGCCTAATCACTTGTTATAGAAACATCAATTAAAATCTAAAAATACTTTTCAAAGCCACTTAAAATTGCTTTTCTTGCTTATAGTGAATCATGAACTAATATTTTAAATCATTTAAGTTAGTTAAGTTAAAAACAGTGTGTTTATATTTCGAATTAGTCAGCAAAGCCACGGTAACTACTAACTGTAGCTGCTGTAGTTTTTACAGTATTGTTATACAAGAACGAATTCCTTACCCGTCGAGAGCATATCAAGGAAGCCATAACACACATGTGTGGCGTCAAAAACAGCTTTAGCCTCATAATTAAAATGGCAAGGGCAGTAAACGCTAACAACTGCAATGTGTGAAAAGCCAGCTATAAAAACACAAATAAGACAAAATCACATTTTTACTTTTCATATTTTTAAATTAATGAAGTATATTAAAACTATATTATTCATTAAGACAAGGATCTTCTAACTTGGTAAGCCTATTAGTGTTCATTCATTCAACAACAATTTATAAAATGCCTATTATGTTCCATGTACTCTTCTGGGTGCTTCAGATACAACAGTGAGCAACTTCTGCCCTTGTATTACATTTAAGTACATTTAGTAATGAAAGACACACAATACATAGACATAGCAAATAAATAAATCCATTACATAGTCTACTCTAAGGCAATAAGTGCAATTGGCAAGAAAATGAAGCAGAGGAGCCAGGGAGTGCAAGAGGCAGTGTGAGGAGGTGGAGGACCAACAGAGTGGGCCTCACTGTAAAGTGACAAAGTTACTAATGCATCCCTGATCCAAAAATCCGAAATCTAAAATGCTCCAAAATCTGAAACTTTTGAGTACCAATATGATGTTCAAAACAAAGTCTCATTGAAGCATTTTGGGTTTGAGATTTTTAGATAAGGGATGCTCAACTAGTAACTATAGTGTAAATACTCCAAAATTTGAAAAAAATCTGAAATCTGAAATGCTTCTAGACCTAAGCATTTTGGATAAGGGATATTCAACATGTGTCATAATCTATTCCTATTAAGTCCAAATTCAGTTACCCACTGTTGTAAATTTGACCTTTACCTCAAGACCCACTTAAAGTTTTATGATATAGGAAATATTTCCATTATTTCCACATTGATCTTTTCCTTATTATGCCACAAAATAATTTTGTACCATATACAATGTTGTCTTATTTGTCTCCTTTGTAAAATTACACGTACTGAAGGGCAGGAACATTACTGTAATATCTTTTTTATCCTTCAACACTTCTGAGCTTGTCACTGACTGACCAGCAAATCCATGTAGTGGCAGATGGCCACCAGTCACAGGGCCATGGGTGCCTGCCCTAATGGACTGTAGCTGATTAGCTCAGCAGGCTAGAAACCAAATGCTTGTTACTGTTAAATGAATACAATTTAATTTAATTCTGTACTACAGTCATAAATCAGTCTTCTAGTTTTTAAATCCTTATTAGTATGCAAAACAGAGTGGATGAAAGAGTGAGAAGGATCAGCAGAAATTTCTCACCAATGCTGAACAACTCACTACTGATGGTGCAACAGCAGCAAGGTTATACCTCTGTTAATTATCCTTGAACTAGAATTTAATACACAAGTCAACCAGAGATTAAAATGAAAGCTTTACCTCACCATGTTCAAGGAGCTGTTTTCTAGAATAAAACAAAAATATTATCTATTTATTGAATGTCTTTTATACTATGAATACATAAAAATAAGCTTCATTTGTTTGATCTTAGATTTTTATAATCTGACTATCTCTAAACTACTTAAGAACATACATTAAAAATAAAAATATCAGATAATGCTACAAAAAATTACAACAATTTAAAAGTCACAATTTATAGCCATCCTATTCAAGGTATGTCAAAAATTTTTTTGGTTAAAACAAAACATATTTTACAGATTCCTGAACATTGTACCTCTCATGAATAAACAAATGGAATGACCTTCTATTCAACCTATGTATACAGTATATACAGTAATTTAGATGACCACTGTTAAACTTTTGAGTTGCTTTCATTTTTCACAATTACAAATAACATGGACACTCATACACAAAACTTTGTAAACATCTCTGAATATTTCCTTCAGATAATTTCCAGAAGAAAAAATTATTGGGTAAAACATAAGTATTTTTAGTTTCAGAAAAGTTGTCCCTTTAGAAAATACTTACAGTACACCTACTGTATTCTAGGCACTGTGCAATGAAATAAATATCACTGTTCCTGCTTATCCTCCAATCCTTATTTTCCACAGTTTCAGTTACCTGTGCTCAACCACAGTCCAAAAATGTTAAATGAAAAGTTCCAGGAAATAAACAATTCCTAAGTTTTAAATTGTGCACCATACTGAATAGTGAAATCTCAAGTCACCCCGCTTCATCCTACCTGGGACGTCTATCACCCCTTTGTCCAGCATATCCATGCTGTATATGTCACTAGCCACTTAGTTACCATCTCGGTTATCAGATGGACCCCGGTGATATCTCAGTGCTTTTTTTCAAGTAACCCTTTTCTGACTTAGTAATGGCCCCAAAGTAAAAGAGCAGTGATGCTGGCAATTGAGATATGCCAAAGAGAAGCTGTAAAGCTCTTTCTTTAAGAGAAAAGGTGAAAATTCTCAAAAGAAAAAACATCATATGCTGAGGTTGGTAAGATCTACAGTAAGAACAAAACTATCCATGAAATTGTGAAGAAGAAAAAAAAAATTAATGCCAGTTTTGCTGTTGTAACTAAAACTGCAAAAGTTATGGCTGCAGTCCAGATAAGTGCTTAGTTAAGATGGAAAAGCCATTACATTTGTGGGTGGAAGATGTGAAAAGGAATGTGTTCTGACGGTGGCACTCAGTTGTGTTACTCTGCAGTTTCAAGCATCCACTGGGGGTCTTGGGATGCATTGCCCTGCGGATAAGGGTGAGTGCTGTGCAGCATGAGCAGTATGTATACAATACTTATCTTCATGGAGTTTATGTCAGAGTAAGACAAGAGGTAGGAGACTGCCTATTTTATTGTTCTCTTGAAAAGACTGGGTATTTTACTTTTATGAAAGGCGTTATAGCCTGCAGGGACATTCTAATACAGATTTTGGGGATGAAGAGAGAAATAAGGCAGTGTGGAAAGTAAGGTCAGGGGTACAGAGACCTGTAGGTTTTTTAAAAGAGAAGTCAGGGGAAGGTATCTTAAGGCAGTAGTGGAGTCACCAAATTATTCTGTCTCCCTTGTAGCTCCTTCCCAGTATAGGCAGTTAATAGAGTGGGGTTTCTCCACTTGTCCCGAAATCTTGTAGACACACAGATTCCTGTAGTGAGCTACTGCATGCAAGAAAGAAGCCTGCTAGGTGAGTAATTATTATAATCACCAAGAACCCTGAAAGTAACTACTGATACTTTATTAAAATCAAGTAGCTAATTAAAAATGTGAATAAATGACCAAATCCCAAGACAAAAATAGCATGAAAAGGAAACATCCAAATAAATGAGCAAAAAACTTGACCTCTCATGAAACAACTAATGCAAATGAAAACTCCAGTTATTATTTTCACAGAAGTTTAAGAGGACAATGCAACCATATAATTAAAACAAGCTCCGATGAAAAGGAGTTTTCAAAAATTCTAAGAAAAATATATTTGCCTAACTTAAAGCCTCAAAAGAAGGTTGAAGAGCAAACTGTACACTGCTGAAGTTGGCAGTATTAAAGACTCAATGATGGGGCAGCCTGAAACCCCGTCTCTACTAAAATTACAAAAATTAGCCAGGTGTGGTGGTGGTCGCC